GTTTTCCAACGAGTAGGAAACTTTCCTGTGGAAAATGACATGTTGATAAGCCTTGCTATGCTTGGAGCTAAAATGGGAGCGGCAATACGCAAAAACCTGGCGCTGATTTTGTCGATACCTGCAGCCTTATGAGGACTGATTCCCTTTATAATCTGAAGCACCTGAGCATTGGTTATGTCTGGAACAGAGAAAACCACATCCGGATCTTTGCGAGACTCAACAAAGTTTACCAACTTGGACAAGTCTGATGGTGTATTACCGAGTCCGGATCTCAGATTAGCCGCGATTGAGGAAAAATATGAATTAAACTGTTCCGCAATTTCTGTAGCATTTTCAACAGCCTTACCATCCAACTGTAGCTGACTAATCCCTTTATTCATCTTTCCGGATCCTGTCAATGCTTTGATCTTATTCCACGTTGCTTTAGGGTTGTTTCGATTTTCTTCGAATGCATTCTTGTAAAACTCACGCTTTGCTGAGCGCAAGTCAAAAACAGCCTTGTTTCTCGCCTCTCGATAATTTGCCCAGTCAGAACTATTGTCCGATTGCCTAGCCACCTTCAAAAAGTGATCACGAGAGTGCAATTTTTTAATAACCGCATTGTTCATCCAGGGCGGCTGAGTGGTGTGTTTGATTCTCTTTTCACGCCAAGGACAATGATCATCGAGGGCGGAATTAAATATCTTCTCCCAAGCATAAACAACATCATCAATATCTTCGAACACAAACGCCGTCTCCCATGGGGTCTGCTCTAGTGTTCGCTTGAATTGATCCTCATTAAAAGATTTCATGTCACGGTACTTGATTCGAGAAGATTGTCTGTTTAGATTCCCGCGTGCATACTTGCGGACTACAAAGACTGGTAGATGATCTGCTAAGCCAATGTCTGCACTGATGACCAAATTTATTCGCTGTGGTTGATTACTGTACACATGATCAAGACAGGTTTTGCTTACGGGGCGGGTTATAAAATCGACTAACTGTTTAAAGTTCATACCACGCAACCCTTTGGCGAGTCTATGCTTATCATAATTCTTCCTATCCTTATAATCAATGTTTATGTCAGAAACAATGATAGTTTCTTTGTTTAACAAATGAACCCTCTCGATGAGCTCTTCGATTTTAATGTCATCATCCTTTTTGGAGGACGGTGGTCGGTAAAAACTTCCAAGAATAATAGATCGCTTCGATTTATAAGGACACACTTCTAGCCAAATTGCCTCCACATCCGCGCTTTCCAAGTCAGTTCTCCGATTTGCAGTAAGATACCAACTAATAAAAGCCATAATACCGCCACCATTTGTCTTTCTGTCCCTTCGGTGAATTATGAACCCCGGGATTGCGTAGCAAGTGTCCAGATCGTCGGGCTTGAGAAATGTCTCACTAATAAACAAAGCGTCCAGTTGAGAACGACCTGAGCGCATGTTTCCAAGTAGAAACAGTTTGATCTGTTCAAACTTGGTTGTTGTTAAATAGTCAACGTTCCAATGGCCGATTCGTAGACCATTTTCTCCAAGTCCGAGATCAAAATATGAAGAGGAGTAATCGCTTTCGTCTGTTTCGGACAGAAATGAAGTCCTCGTTGTCGATGGACTGTATTCAGCGAACGAAGAAAAACTCCCTTCCAAAGACGATAAATCCGACTGCGTAACATCAATTGGACCAGGGTTACTGGCAACATCATTACAGAGGACCAAAATATTGATGGATAAGGCGACGTTTAGGAGTTTTAAACCAAGTAATAGCTTATGACTAGCAGGAGCTGGAACAATGGCGGATGACTTGATTCGTGTTTGAAGTCTAGAAAGGCTTACAAACGGCACACACAAAGCTCTTGCGACAACAAATCCTTCCAGGCATATCCCTAGACTCTCATCTTCTAGATTCAGTGGGTTGCGATAAATGAAGTTGAAAATTAAACTTGAGACAAGCCAAAGTGTTAGCGAGCGGCCGAGGGCCGACTTACACGCCGCCATGTGTACTACTACTTTCCATGAAGAGGAAACCGTGTAAAATCATGATTATCAGATGTATGCGGTCTCGCGAGAGCGAAAACAACTTCCCCAGTAAAGATAAGGGAAAGAAATAGCTGAAAACTGCGAGAGCGCCTGAACGCATGACCTACCGCCATCATCACATCACTATGAACCTATGAGTTGACTAATGGTTGTGGGTTGTGGGTTGTGGGTACAAGTCGTGGGTGTGGGTGTGGGTGTGGGTGTGGGTGTGGGTGCAAGTCATGTCGGCAATAGTTAACAATTAATTGTTAATAGTTCATATTTGATAATAATGATAATATTAATAGTGCTTTTACTAGCAATTAGTTATTATTGCAGAGGGAAATGGTAGGTCTGTGTTAGATTGTTGGTGTCTCTCTACTAATTGCTTACTGTGGCTTTCAAACTCTGCAAATTATGGAAAGGTTTTTTTTGACAACTGCAATAACTGGAAGGAAGAATGTTCAGTCACAGTAATTGATTTGTTTTCACAAGGGCTCTAGGAAATAATTTTTTTGACTTGGCTCCCTTCTGTCATTAATTTTTAAGATTTTGATTCAAAGAGATTCAGAAACATTGATATGGACCTCACATTCCTTCTTCCAAGAACAGCATACCAATTGCTGTTATCAAACATGTGATTGGTTGCTTGTAACACACTGTATCACTAAGGGAGATTGACCTGCAGTCTCCTCCACAGATAAATATCGTGTAGAATATGTTCACCAGAGTCTCCATACCTAGTTGTGGGGAGGTCCAAGGTTTTGAAGACCTTATGTCACTCGCACTGCTGTCATAAAAGCATGTAATACTCAGGCTGTGGGCTGAGGCTTGGCCATTGTAACATGGGCAACACAATAGGCATTCCTGATCAGGGCTTTGTTATCATAATTGTCCTGTAGTGTTTCAATAAGTAAATCAAATGATACTTGTCTTTGCTTGCCATTGTTCTTTCTACTCTTTTTTTGACATGTTATGGCAACTTCCCTTGAGAAAGTTGAACTTCCTATGGTGGGAATAGCTGGATGCATCTCTACTGTATCTTCTTTTCCCTTCACCTTTCCCTTCATGAGTCAGGCACTTTCTGTAACACAGTACAAGAGTTAGTCGACAAAGCCAGGTCAACTTGAGTATCCTAAACTCTTCATTGTGGCAATCGCTTTGTGTACAAACAATTTCCCTGCATATCCCTGAACAACAATTGTGTGATCAAGCACAGTCTCCACGAGAGCTCCAGCAACAAACACCTCATTTCTGAATTGTTCCTCAAGTTCTGCTAAGGCTGCCTTAAAGAGGTGGTCATGATTGAGCATCCCTCCAATAGTTTTTTGATTAGAGGTTGGTCATGTACCAAACATTTAAACAGTAGTATAAACTGGGGCCACTTAGGTGGATTTCCCGAAAACCAGGGTAATTCCAAACATGACATTAATTTTTGAAGTGTTATTATTGACTCTTCATTTTCTTCTACCTTTGTTTTACCCTGCCTGGCTGAGAGTTTGCTATCCATGAGGTATTGAAGTGTTCCTCTGCTTCACAATGAGCTTAATTGTTCAGAGAAGTGTTAGTGTACAATGTGGACAATTTAATTGGGAAGGCAACTTGAGAATTTTTACTGAAAAAATAATGACCTATCTTTTAGCAAATTACAATTAAAACTAGAGTTTTGAAACTGTTTTTGTCATAAGAAGTGTCTTTTGCTGCAGATAGCCAGAATCAAAATGACTTAACATTTCAAAAATTGAAGTTGTACTAATCTTGAATATTTAGTAATTGTAAAAATAAATAGTAGTTTACATAGTGCTTAAAACTATGCACATATTCAAAAGTGCTTTAAATTACATCAATTATTACAAACTAGTGCTGAACGTGATCCAAAAAGAAATTTTGTGAGATATTTCTTTAAAATAGCTAGGCTGCTACAGGATCTGATTGGTGATGGCATTTACCCCCCCAAAAAATACATGCATAGAGAAAATTGAAATAATGTAAAAACACGTAGTTTTTAATGTTTTGAAATATTTCAGGTTACTTTATTATGTTACTTTTGTTAGAAACAACTATGTCTCTGGTAATTGACCTTTAGGAAGTTTGATAAAATTTCCGCAGTACGTAGACAAAGCAGTTTTTTACATAGACATGAATATTTATACTTGACATGAACATTGGGGCTACTCATCCCAGAATATTCTTAGCCAACTCTTGCTACTGAAAATGGAGTCAAACACTAGCCTGTTCAGCCATATTTTTGGTGAGCAGACTTACTTTTACCTGTACCACTGTAATGCTCACGTGTTAGGAACTACATGTCATAGTCCTAAGTTGCAACTACTAAAGGTGGTGAGACACCAAAAAGAAGCACGACAGTTCGATTATCTATGAAATTCTCTGCACACCACTGACCAAACTTGAAGTCAAATTGTTCTTCTTTAAATACATCTAGAACCATCCATTGGAATTCCTTTGAGGCAAAGAGTTTTATAAAAAGTTGCCCAATTACTCCTAACTTCTCTTCTGATTCACAGCCTTCAAATAAACAATACTTGCCCTTCTTTTTTGGTGTTGGCTGAAAACATGTACAGGCATCCACTGGGGTGCTGCTCTGCTTCAGTGTTGTGTTGCGTTGCAGGCATGCATAGCGGGCAGTTAATCCTCTATATAGTGTGGTTCCAACTGACCTCCTTGAGGTCTCCATTGTGAAATAGATTTATATAAGTTAAGTGTAATGTTAATAATAATAATTTGAATCAACAAATTTTAGAAATGGATTTTACATTAAAAATTAACATTAACAAAAAAATAAGAACGTTTCAACCACTCAATAGTCATTTTCAAGTTGAAGGATAAAATTTTGTCATCACGTGCTTGTTTAATCGACTGTATAAATGCTAATGTGATACTGACTAAAACTCTGAAATATTTGCATAGAATGAATACAGGAAAATTGCAGCAAGAACGATGAAAAAAGCTAAGAGAAAAGCAACAATATCAAAAGTGAATCAATCAGATAAATACTCTTACACAGATCAAATCACTCTGTTTGTTCAGTTTTGGTTTAAGTTTGCAAATAGAAAGCATTTCAAAGCCCAAACAGTACTGTTTACTCTGACATTTCTTCATAGTCTTGAAATTTCTTTTGATAGTCTTAGGATCCTTTCCATGCTCATCCTTCAGGTGATTGGTAATTGTTGATCACTTGTGTTCCTCCACACGTTGAAGTAAGTGTCGGCTTGTAGAGCTGACATAGTCTGCATCATGCAGACCACACTTATAATATTAAACTACATTTACAGTTGGAGGTTTGAGTTCTTTCGGCTTGAATTGTCCTTTGATCTTCTGACTTGTGAAAATGGGTTGGGCAATGGGCATCAATCTTTCGGCTGAGATCACCGAGTTGGTGTCTTATCGCATGTGCTGATTTCTGGTCTTAAAATGGTAAGACAAAATTGAGCATCATCCATCCTCTGTGACTTTCATTTAAATAAAACTTCTGATGGTATTCTCTACAAGAGTTTCAGGATAATGTAGGCAAGCAAAAACTGTTTTTAGATGTTTACATTCTTGATGGAAAAACATCCAGTTTGCAGAGAGTTTAAACACATGGTTTAACATTGTCTGCAGCAGAGAATGTCTGTACTTTTTGTCAACAAGGCTTTGGTAAGGTAGTAAAGGTCCGGTATCAGTTGGTCAGAGACCAAGGGAAGTTTGCTGTTTTTGAGTTCCATTGTAGAACTGAGTGAAGGGTGTATTTCATTCAGTGTTGACTAGAAAACAGAGGCAGTTGAAACATCTGTCATTTTGCAGGGGGTGTCATCGGCATAGCACCCATAGAAAGCACACATCTTCTTTTGATTTTCCAATTTTTCTTTAATATGGCACATAAACACATTTGCTATTAGTGGTCCTTTGTTTTTTTGTTGCAACTTCTAACAGGTCATTGAGGTCAGTTTTTGTGATGTTAAGGGCATATTTCCTTTTGAAACAATTGTCTCTGAACGCTTTCTCTGCTAAGATTTTGATTGTTTCATCTACTGGTATGTTTGTGAAGAAGGATGAAATATTGTATGACACTAAAATGTCCTGATCAGCGATCTTCATCTCATGGAGATCATCAGCAAACAAGATGTCACTGATGGTTTGGTCAATGGTGGACAAAGGTTTTAACTTATCATTGAGCCACTTGGCAAGCTTGTATGGAATGCTCGTTTCTTCTTGTGGGTCTTTGATAAACCATAAATGTGTGTGAGCCTAGAACCTTTTTGGATCAGTGAGTTGGCAATGGGTTTCAGAAGAGTTTTTTGTACAATGGAGAAAAGTTCCTTCTCCCTTTTAAGCAGTGGCTGGTAGTGCTTTGGAGGCCTACCTTTTTAATAATAATAATAACAATAATAATAAAATGAATAGACAAATCATCAAAAGTTAGACATTTTAAGAAATCTGATTCTATGAATGCAATTTTAGGTTGATAATGTTTCAGGTTGAAAGTGAAAATTTATTGTATAATTATATTAATTTATTAGCAGCATCTATCCAGGCTGGCAAGCTGGATTGACTTGGAGGCTGCATAAAATTAGATAAATATGCAAATATGCACAGCAATGTAAAGTGCTAAAAGGTTTAGCAGAAAGCTTGAATTGAATGGAAGTCTGTTAAAATAGTTTGAGTATAACAAAATATGAAAAGAAGTATGAAATGCAAAATTAGCCCTCAAAAAAATTACAAGATGTACATACATTGTATATTACATTACATTGCATATTAAGTTAATTACAAATTAAAAAGAACAAGAATGAAAACATTGCAACAAAACAAACTGTATTATTATCTGCAAAAGCTGGAATTCACTAAACAGCAATACCCATGGAAACTGTACAATGCTGGAAAAGGCTCTTACTTTGTTCTCACATACAGCCTTGGGTGAAAAGGAAAATTTACTTTGGTCAGGGATGGACCTTCGTAATGTTATACAAATGAACTTGCAGAAGAGAAGTATAGGTTTTTTATTGTTAGACTTAATCTTGATGACACCAAGCCAAAACTGGGGTACATGTGTTAAACCACAGCGGCAAAGACAAGGGAGGACTCCAACTCATTGTTAATTAGTTTGGGAATGTAGTTTCTTGATTTGTTCATTAATCTTTTGTGAAAAGAAAATAAAATTGAGGAAACTATTCTCACAACCCTTGCTGTCAATTTCATGGGAAGCCGACAAACTTGAAGGACACCTGCTACTTCTTAATTGAAGTTCCTATCAAGATTAGTGACATCTTCAGAAACCTGATGAATGAATGAGCAATGAAATCATTAGAAGTTATTAGAAACCCTAAAAAGCAATATCAGGAAAATGACTAGTTGTAGTTACAGGTTTACAACGAAATACCCAGTATGTTAAGAAAAATTGAAGTTCTAATAAAAATTGGTGACATCTTTCCCAAGCAATAGCCTTTACTTATGCTATTATTACTACTATTATCTATGTTGCCTGGCAATACAAAAGTTTTTTTCATTGTTATAATTTGCTAAAAGGTTGGCTAAACCAAGTTGACAAGCTATTGGAGTAAAAGTAATATTGCCCAGAAGATGGCAAGGTTTGGCAACACAAATAGGGCAGCACTCAGGGAAATAGTGCTTGTACAGATTTGTCAGTAATAACAAAAACTTACCAAACCATTATAGTATAGTTGCTTGTTTGTATAGTATTTAATGTGAGGTTGGAACTGATGATTAATCACTGTTCTGTAATCCATCTGATCCTCTCCAAATTTTTTCCCAAAGTGAAGCAGTTAACCATGCTGACAACTCTGTCAAAAAAGTCTAGCATGGGTGATGGATGATGTATTTCTTTTCACAGGCTGAGCTTGTGGTGGTGGTTCATATGGCCTTCCTTATTCTAAGAAAGCTGATGTTTGTAAGCTTTCTTTTCTGCTTTCTCTTTCTATTATGAAAATTATTTTGAATGATCAAAACTTACTCTAGACCTAATGAATAAATACAATTTGACCATCTCGATCAGGCAGCCTACTAAAGTGACTGCAACATCTAGTAACCTTATTGAAGTGATCCTGACATAGAAGCAGCTACAACTGTGAGGCAGTACCTCTATGTTTGATTGAGGACTGGAGGAATGCTACTGACAACAAATGTTTTGTTGGCGCGGTTTCTATGGATCTGAGTAAAGCTTCTGATATGATATGGCATGACCTCCTCCTTGCCAAGCTGGTTGCCTATTGTGTTGCTCCACCAAGCCTGGCCCTCTTACACAGTTACCTTAGAGTCGGGTCCAAACATGTGAGGATAGAAGATGTTGCTTTGGATGTTGTTGTTTTCTTTAAGGGTGTACCCTAGAGATTGGTTTTAGGGCCCCTTCTTTTCAATATTTTTCTTAAGGATGTGATCTATTTTATTAATCATGCTAATTTGTCAAACTATGCTGATGATAATCAATTTTTTTTAGTGATCACAATCCTGAGGTGGTAAAGTCCATTATCAATGGCAATCTTGCTGTTGCGAGTTGTTGGTTTGATGATGATAAGCTAGTGCTCAATCCCGAGATTGAGCTCATAGCCAAGATTAATGTGAGAGCTCTAAGGTGTGTCCACATCAAACAGGTGCCCCTTTATGGTAATGATGCTTATGGTTTAACTTTGTCTAATCGTCGACTACAGAACATTGCCATATTGATTTTTAAAGCTGCAAATGGCATGTTACTGGAATATACAAGTGAATTGTTTGTCCTACAAGATAATGAGAAAAACTTAAGAGGCACCAACAAGCTCATTGTCTTAGGTAAGAATACCAGACTTTGACTTAAAATTTACATCTTTTATTGGTGCCAAAGTGTAGAATTTCTTACCAGATGAACTATGCTCACAACAATTCTTAAGGAATTTAGGAATGCTGTAAGAGAGCTACATTTGCAATGTACAATCTAATAAGATCTTCTAAGTTTTAAGACTTAAAATTTTTTACTCTCTTAAAGTAGTTAGAAAGTTAATCATTAGTCATTGTTCAATTTTTTGTTAGTTTATTTTACTTTTCTTGGCATTTTAGCATGTACTGCTAGGGGCATAACTAGCCTCATTGACCTGAGTTGAAATAAAGTTACTTACTTACTTTACTTACCCTGTGTTTACACTTAAGCATTTACTAAGGTGAGCATTAACTGACTAAACCTCGGTACATTTGTACAGTGTTTATACAGGCTCAAATAACTTAGGTAAATCTGTCATCAATCAAGATGAAAACGAATTGGCGGCAATTTCTAAACTCACGCATAAAATGCCCATGTTTAAAAGAGAAGCTGTGAGACAAGGAGCGCTAGATATGCTTGGTTGTGGCCAAGAAACAAGTTCTGGTTTGAAACTCTATTTAACGGACAATTCGTGGAAGAATGGTGGAAAGAGAACTTAATAATATCAAGACATATGTTTGAGCACATTGTCGGATTGGTTGGTCTGGATTTGGCAAAGAAGGACACTACATTGCGCAAATGCATACTGGTTAATAAGCAAGTGGCTGTGGCATTTGGCAACTGGAGACACATACAGATCTACGGGCCTGCAATTTGGCATTGGAAGATGTGCAACAATGCTCGTAAAAGCTGATTTTTGTAAGGCTATTGCCAAAAGAGCCCTCGTTGTATAAAATTTCCAGAAACTGAAGAGGAACTTACCTGAAACGTTTGCTTATTCACCCAGAAGTCTCCATTTCCACAAGTGGTAAGCACAATTGAAGGAAGCCATATCCTATTAAAAACAGTACCCGTGAACGAACAAATAGAATACTTCAATTGCAAGCAGGATTATTCTATTGTGGTCCAAGCTGTTGCCAATGCGTCCTTTAAATTTCTTGATGTAAGTACAGGCTTTCCTGGCAGCATACATTATGCCCACGTTCTCCAATTGAGCAAACTGCATAGAGGTCAGTCGAGGTAACTGGCTAAATGGGCCTTCTAAACAAATTGGGGCCTGTGAAGTGGGACCTTTGCTTGTTGGGGACTCAGCTTATCCCTTATCAAAGTGGTTAATGAACCCTTTCAAGCAAACTCATACATTAACTGATGTCTCTACAAAGCAATGGAGAAAAAGACAAGTAGCCTCCCCCTCACAATCTTGGCTTGTTGTGTCCTTCACAACATCTGTATTATTGTTGGAGACCCAAGCACTATAGACCCAGTTGAGGACGACCATGAGGATGAAGATTCTTTTAATGGGGGTATGCAGCTTGGTGCTTCAGACATTAGAGATAATATAATACAATATCTATCATAGCCCAAAACAAAAATGGAAGTACTTTTTTATTGTTACTTTCAAAAGTACACCTTCTTGCTAGGAATCTCTAAGGCTAAAAATTTGTTGCGTTTTCCACTTCTTTGTAAATATGTATTTGTCAAAAACTGTTACTGTTACCTTTCCAATGTAAAAATAGACTATTTTTTGCTGGTACATTTACCCGATTAATTGTTTTCTCTTTCGTGTCAATCTCTTGTATTGTGAAAGAAACCGTTTTGCCCTAAAATTAATTAACAAATTTATTTGCTTTGCTATTATTCAATTATTTGAAATCCGTGCTTATAAATTAGGGCTACTCTTCCCATCATTTTCTGAAGAATCAAAGGAGACTCTGCTTGCTGGGAAATAAACTCATTTAATTTAAAATATAATTCCTTTCATGAAAATATCCTTATATAAAGCAACGTCCAGATTGTCACTTCCTTTTAGTGATGTTTATAATAATCACAGTCAATGAACAGAAACGAATGAAATGCAGGAGGAAAATGAATAAAAGACTATAACTATTTATTCTTTTCCTTTGGTGACATCCTTTGGAATATTTCCTAACATCACCAATGCATCCATTGAGAATTTTTGCTGTTGTTGTCTGCTTTCTCTCTCTGCCTTGGCCACCCTCTCCATAAAAGCCTCATCCTTTTCTTGTGCCCTCTCAAGGAATGAAAGAACTGTGCCTTGTTCCTTTGCACCTGCTCCTCCTTTGGCCTTCTTTCTGGAATTCTTTTTCACCAGTTTTTTTCCTGCGTGACTCTTTGGATTGGGCATTATTGTGCTTGTGCCCTTCCATTTTCTGCTTTTGTTCTTGAAGAACAGTGATTTTGCGAATGCTGCTACTTTGTCGTCTTCTTCAAAGCCATCAGCACTATATGTGCTTTTACCAGACGTGCCAGGCGTATCCCTCTCCTTTTGGGCACGAGCAGCCACCAAAATCTCCTCATCCAAGGCCTCCTTGTCCAGCAAATCTTTATCAATTTCTGGGGAACTGGTGATGTACAAGCTGCTTTCTAGCACATGTTTAGGATTAACCACTTCTCATTTGCATAAAATGTTATCTATATCATTAAAATTCTTTGGTATCAGCTCAGTTTCACTCTCGGTTTCCTTGTCTTCATTGTCTCCCCCTTTTCCATACCCAGTTGTTCTAAGCTTGTCTTTGACAGTCTTGTATTTCTTGGTCAGGTTTGCCATTTTATTTTTGCACTGCTGGGCAGATTTCTCGCTCTTGATGTTCTCTTGTCTGCATCTTTCTTGTAGTTGCCTGGCAATAGACTGCCATTCCAGGGAATTGAATGACCAGTAGCGAAGTTTCTCCTCGTTCTTGCCAAACAGTTCAATTAGAATCTTTTCTTCAGTGTCAGTCCATCAATTATTTTTCCTTTGCGCTCCGTTTTCTTGACTTGATGTAGGCAGATGCGAAGACTGTGAAGCCTGAACTGACTGAACCACATGAGCAGGCAAATGAGTGAATGGTGCCATCATCTGCATTGGGGACATCATTGGTGGGACATAGTATTGCCGTGGCATACTCATGAACTGTTGATAGTACAGGGAGGGTCATAGCCTTGGTTGTCTTTCATAGGCAAATGGTGACAACGTGGAATATGCATCTTCCCTGGTGATACAATTGACAGAAAATAAATAGACGCAAGGATCAACAATTTCCACAAGAAAGAAATATTTAAATGCACAAATTAGCTGTACAATGTTGTTAACTTTACCTTTCAGGTTGTTCAGATTCATCAGGTTTAATGTCTTTGTTTTTTGCCATAACTTCTTTGTAGACGGAAATTAAATGTTGAAATATGGTTGAAAACGTGATCAAATGAGACTGACGCAATTCTGACACTACGGGATGTGAAATTCTATTCGACTGCAAGTGGATATATTCTTCACCCAAACCTTGGTTACCAACCTTAGCCATGCCTGCTCGCATGGTAAATCGAACTTTTACCTTGGTAAACTTTCTATTGTCTTGTTTACCATGGTATCAATTAATTGGCATTTACACACGCAAAATATTTACTTAGGTAAGTAAACTCCAATACCTCAGTAGCATGCTCAAGTCTAAATATGGCATTAAATGAAATCAAACTGAATGATGAATAACTAAATCTACCCAGCAAAATGTCTATAAATTGCTACATAACATACTGAATTGTGGGACAATTTTAATTGCACACATACTTGAGGTGGGATACATTCGTTATATTGGAGAAATTGTGATGTATTTATCTTTTAAACGTGTTAGACTGTGTAACCATACATTTTTGGTACTTTCCTCAATTGTCCTGTAGTGTGACAGTGTAAGTCTGATATCTTAAATTACTGACTTTGGTTTTTTGTACGTGTTTTAAAATCGGCAACACAACCTGTAAGAAACAGCACTTGGGTATTAAACGGAGATTTATTGTAAAAAACAACTATATGCAGTCGAGCAACGTTCTGCAACGTTTTAGGAACTCCAGCACGCGGTTGTGCAATCACGCATAAATGCATTTCATTGGCTGAATTAACAATATAACAGAAACTCGTGTGGTTAGATTTCACATAGCAAGTCACGCAACTTGTCACATCTTCCCTTTTTCCAAAACATGTTAAAAGTACATTCACTGTCATTTATAAGTTCTTAACAAGTTCTCCTTACGAAGTAACAAAGTCCTTAAGCCAGCCGGGCGGCCTCGTGTGCCGTTGTGGTCTCTGTGACTTGGTGGTTTCTCTTGGTACTGATGGGGGGCATTCTTCAGGTGGGGTCAGCCATGTCATCTGGCAATGTGGCCTTGTTTGATTCTCCTGTCTTGATTAGCTGCCTTCGATTTCTCCTGTAAACTGCATTACCTACTTGTACCCCGAAGCTCCTCTGGCCTGCGTTAGCTGTGCATGTTCCAGGACTCCACGTTTTCTCACCGGGTAGTCTCACACGTACTGCATCCCCAACACTGATTGGCTCCAAGGGACTGGCTTTCTTGTTACAGTAGAACTGTTGCCGCTGCTTTGTACCAAGTAGTTTGCGAGTGTCTTCTTCTGTGGGAAAGTTGGGCTGCAATAGGGAGCCTGCTATGGGGAGCAGTGTCTTACAGCGGCAACCCATCAGACATTAGGCAGGACTGGTTCCAATTCCAGCTGTGGGCGTGTTGCACCAGTCTAATAGTGCTTGAAACTCTGACGTTCCGGATGCCTTGCACTTTCTAAACAAGGTTTTGACGGTCTGCACTGCTTTCTCTGCCTTTCCATTAGACTGAGGATAGGTTGGTGAGGATGTCTTGTGTTCGAACATCCATGTCTTCGCGAAAACTGCAAATTCAGCAGGGGAGAACGGCAAACCATTATCCATGACTAGGGTGTTGGGAACGCCATATCTTGCAAATATCGCTTTCAGCTCCTTGATTACGGCACAGGAGGTAAGGTTGCTCAGGCGAGCTACCTCGATAAGGTTACTGTAGTAGTCACTGACAACTAACAATACCCTGTTGTTGAACTCACAGAGGTCAGCAGCAACCCTAGCCCAGGGCCGTGTGACGAACTCATGCTGGAGCATTGGTTCCTTTCCTTGGCCAGTGCGATGTGTCATACAGACATCACACTTGGAGATGTACTCTTTGATCTCCGTTGGTCATACGTGACCAGTACAGGGTGTCTCTTGCTCGGCGTATGCATCCTTCAATGCCAATGTGTGACGCGTGTGTCTTCTCCATAAGTTCCTTCCTCAAAACCGCAGGAACAACAATCTGCTGACCTTTAAAGACAAGCTCATTCTGGATGGTTAGTTCATCACACACATCAAAGTAAGGACGCACACATTCAGGAGCTAGTTCCCTGTTCTCAGGCCATCCGATTCTGATGATGTCTCGTAGTTTCTGCTGTACTGGATCATCTGCCGCTGCGTTCCTCAGTTGTTGCCAACGATCCTCGGTCACGGGGAGACATACTTGTAAACTCGGTAGCATTTACTTCCGGCAGGAGTGGCGCGACTCAGTGTGTCTGCTAGAAGCATTTCTTTTCCCTTCTTGTACTTGACTTGCAAATTATACTTCTGCAGGCGCAACAGCATCCTCTGCAGGCGCTTCGGAGTTGCGGCCAGTGGTTTTATGAAGATTGCCTCCAAGGGTTTATGGTTGGTCTCCACGTTTACCAGGTCTCTGCCATAAACAAATGCATCAAAATGATCACAGGCAAACACAATCGAGAGCAGTTCCTTCTCTATTTGGGCATAACATGTTTCAGCCGGTGTCAGTGCAAGTGAGGCGTACGCGACTGGCTGTCTGTTCTGCATAAGTGCTGCTCCAAGCCGAGACTTGGACACATCACACTGCAATGTGACCTCCTCTTTAAGATTGTAATAGCATAGAACTGGGGTGCGTGTCACTATTTCTTTGAGCTTCTCGAACGCAGTTTGTTGAGCTTCATTCCAGACCCACAGAACATAAGACTGCGTTAAGTCCCTTAGTGGCTTGGTGACATCCGAATGGTGTGGAAGGAACTTGGCGAGGTACTGGGCCAGTCCCAGAAGTCGTTGCACACCAAGCTTGTCTGTTGGGGCTGGCATCTCACTAGTAGCTCGAACTTTGGCAGGGTCTACTTCTAGTCCCTTGTCGGTTGCCATGTGCCCAATGAACAGCACTTGTGACTGTTGCAATGTTAGCTTCTCCGGATTTAGACGGATGTTCTTTGCTTCGCATCATTTGAGGAACTTGAGGAGATTTTTGTCATGGTCTCGTGTCGCTTCCCCGAATGTCTCACCGTATCCAACCGTATGCAACTGCAATGAAGTCGTCAGAAACTACCTCAATACCCATCATACTTTCAATGAGCTTGTGCATCTTCCTTTGAAACACTTCCGGCGTGGATGAAATGTTTGAAAGGTCGTCAGGTATGAAGATTCTTCATCTAGGCTTACATGCCAAAACCCATTCCGAACATCCATAACCGTGAAGACTTTAGCTCCGTGGAGGCATGTCGCGATGTCCTCTACTGTCGGGAGCTGGTACTTCTCTCTTTGTATGGCACAGTTCAGGTCTTTGGGGTCAAGACATATGCGCAGCTTTCCATTCTTCTTTGGGACAGCAACAATGGAGCTTATCCATCTGGTGGGCGTGGTTACTTGGGCAATGATACCTTGTGCTTCCAGAGCATCCAATGTATCCTTGAGCTGAGGCCTTAATGCCACTGCAATGCGATGTGGAACATGTTGTACAGGCGGGACAGTCTCGTCCAATCTAATCTTATATTGACTGTCAAGTTGTCCAAGGCCCTCACCGAAGACATCTGGAAACTTTAACATTAATTCCTCTTTGGTTGCTGGTGATGGCTGGTCTTCTATGGCATAAACAGAGGAACCTCCTGTCTCGGGCTTGTTAAGCAGGTCATTGTCCTTGTACTGGATGATGTTCATAGCTAGGCACGACTTGATATCAAGAATCGAACGAATTTCTTCACTGTCCACCAGGCGACAGTCCAGAAGGCATGACCTCTCATTTCTCCAGAAGCAGATGCTGATGCGGCCGATGACTTTAATTTTCAAGCCTCCATATGCAACCAATGATGCCTGAGTGCGATTCACTTTTTCAAGCTTCTCATCTTTAGATGCCTTCTGATAAACCTGTAGCAGCAGCACGTTACACAGGGCTCCAGTGTTGGGTTGGAAACGGATGAAGTTACCAGACTCTAGCTTCAGTGTCACTAGTTGTGAATCATCGAGTTTCACGGCTGCTACCTCTATCTGGTACATCTCACCAGCCTCATCATCTTCTAAATCGGTCACCTTAACTTCCTTCGATTTGCATCTTGATGCAAAGTGGTTCCGCTTTCTGCATTTCAGGCATTCCTGTCCTATCGCGGTACAGGATTCCGAACTTTCCTGGTGTTGATAGCCACATTTTTCACACTCTCTGCCATGCCGCCCCTGACCTTGCTGTTGTCTTCTACGAGTTGTTTTCTTGGATTTTCGAAAGTTAGGCAGACATTCCTGCTCCAGTTTGTTTGCCTCCGGTTTGGTGAGGTCTCCAACAATTTTCATCTGTGTTTGCATGCTTTCGGCGGCGCGACAAATCTCATCAGTCTTTGCGAGGCTGAGTTTCGACTCTCGCAGCAGTCGTTCTCTCACTTTTGAGTCACGTATGCCAAAAATTAAGCGATCTCTAAGCATTTCGTCGGGAGTTATGTCAAAGTCACAGCCCTCTGCAAGCTTACAAAGTGCGGTCTTGTACTGGTCATAGCTTTCTCCTGTTTCTTGTGTTCAACAATTAAATCGATAGCACTTGAATGGTACATTCTTTCATGGCTGGCAATACTCGGCAAACTTCTGTAGCACCGGGGCAATCTTGTTTTCTTCCCCTTCATTGGCCCAGTCAGTATTGTGGAATACACATCACGAGCCTCTTCTCCTATGACTGTCAAGAGAGTAGCAACTTGGACGCCTTCTGACTTCGTGTCGAGCTCAGTAGCCAAAGCATAGCTATTCCACGCTAAATTAAACTTCTTCCATTTCTCCATGGCATTCTGATCATGAATATCCAGCGGCGTTGGCGGCGGTAAGCTATGTCCCAATGCCATTTTCTAGTAAGCTTCAATGCAGCGTGGATCCTGTCGCCACTACCACCATGTATGAAACAGCACTTGGGTATTAAACGGAGATTTATTGTAAAAAACAACTATATGCAGTCGAGCGACGTTCTGCAACGTTTTAGGAACTCCAGCACACGGTTGTGCAATCACGCATAAATACATTTCATTGGCTGAATCAACAATATAACAGAAACTCGTGTGGTTAGATATCACATAGCAAGTCACGCAACTTCTCACACAACCCTCTCTCTATAAATGTCTACACCTATACTCATAAAGTATTAATTTAAACTGTTAGAATTTTCTTCTCAATAATTAACTTTGTGTAACTGTTGTTACAGCAATATCCTGGTTGTTTCT